GGGGGCGTCGCCGGGGGCGAGGAGCGCGGCCGAGGTGGGGCGTGTGCGCTCAGCGCCGCCGAGCGAAGCCGACGTGCCCGCCGAAGCGCGCGCCCGGGCGGGTGTGAGCGAGTGTGTGTGTGCGGGAGTGTGTGCGTACACGCCTTCGGGGGCCGGTGACACTGCAGTGGGCTTCTTCGTTGAGCCGGCCCTCGGGCTGCTCAGTCCCCAGCCAACCTGCACCGCATTTAGGAAACAGCTTGGCTCTGTCATCTTCCGGAGCCTTCCTCTGCATCCACACCTCGCTTAGCTTACTTTTCCCTTGACCCAGGGTGCCACAGCCGGCCACCCCCCTAATCGGTACAAACACCCAAGCCTTTTCCAGTTCTCCCCTAAGCCAATATTTTCCCACTTATCTCTCACTGGGGTTTCTCTTTGAGCCAGGTCAGGCTCCCCCATTCTTGGAAATTGTTTTATTGGACTGCTGTACCGAGGCGTGCAAAGCTTGAGGACTTTATTATTATAAAATAGACTCTTTTCAGTTCCTCCCCTTCTGAGCAACGGAGCAATGAAATTTCCAATCGAGACTCCAAGGAAACAGGTGAACTGGGATCCTAAAGGTAGGTATCTCCGACTTTTGGCCGCCCTCACCCTGCCTCCGTCTCCTGCATGTGCGCGCCTCCGTGAGCGGAGGACTCGCTTCTCGCAGCGTGTGTCCTCAGGCTGGGATCTGAGCTTGGGAACTGCACCACTGGTGGGAGGAGGGCGGAGGCAGCGTGGGTTCCGAACCCAGATACTGCCTGTCATTATCACATAATCATTGTCCTTCCTGGATGGCTTTAAAATCTATTCAAAGATACACTAAGTCCGCTGTTTGGCTTGACATAGCACAAAGTGTCGGTATTTGCTTTTGACTTTGTGCGACTGTGTGTGTATGTGTGTGTGTCCTTTGTTTCTGGTGATCTTTGTCTCTCTGGCAGATGGGTGGGGTGGCTCCCCTTGGACCCGGAGCCGCGCCGCCTGCCCGGGTGTCCTCAGTGGGAAAGGTTTCCTGGCAGCAAGTGGAGAGCGGATCTGCACAGCAGCGGTCCCTGAGGGTGACCCTTCTCTAAGAGCGTGCGGAATAATGGAGCCCACGGGGGCCTCCCGAGTCTTGGCTCAGTCTTACTACCAAACCAGGCAGCTGGTTTGGTTCAGGTCATAGTAGGAAGGAGACGAGGAGTGGTTGGCGAGAAGGGTGGGGCTGGCAGGGGCTGGGGAGGGGGCATGCAGTGTGCCTGCTGGAGAAGGGGTGTCATTTATAAGCGCTTATGAGTGTTGGATAATGTTCCCTGGACGCAAAAGAGGGCGATTAAGACCGATTTGTGTGTTGTTCCCAGTGTTGGCCACCGTGCCTTTAATTAGCATACAAATGTTAAGGCTCCTCCTCAGTATCAGGATGGGAGCAGAACAAGTTGAAACCGAGTGTTCAGTTTTGACAAGAATACTCTTCAGCATTTGTCTTAGCTCGGCTGAGCTGGGCTAGGCAATGCCTCTGTGTGTTTGGCTTGAAATTCAACCAAGCATGTGTGTAATGTTCTTTATGAGTGCATTTCTTCTTTTCTCCGGACTGAAGACGAAGAAACCCACTCACATCTTGACTAAATGTCTTACGAATTGACTGGCTATTTACGAGTGAGCGGTATTGGCTTTTTTAAACACCAAGGTTCTTACACCTTATATACAATGCAAACCTTCAATTTTTTGTCTCTAATCTCTGGAAATATGGAGGTATGCTGTGTCTTTTTTTCTTTTTTTAAATCCTTGCAAAACATATTTATTGAAAACCTACTACATACTATACCAAGAACTGTCTCAGTCCCTGGGGATACAGTCAGAAGAAGACAGACAGAAGGTCTGCATCCTTGGAGTTTACAGTGAGGGAGATGGATGCAAAACAATCACTGCCCAGAAGAGTGCATGTTGACAAGTTTATATATGTTCCTTGAAGGAGAAGATCAGTGCTTTAAGAAAGTGTCTGATTGAGCAGACTGTCTAGGACCAGGAGATGGGCGTGGTCAGGGAAGGCTTCCCTGAGGAGTTGAGACTTACACTGAGACCTAGAGGATGAACAGGAGTTAACAGACTAATGAGGAGAGGAAGGTGTTCCAGAAGAGGGACCAGCAAGTTCAAAGGCCCTGAGGTAGGAGGGAGCATTGTGTATGATGAACTGAAAGGAGGTCCCCATGGCTGGCATGGGGAGTGAGGGAATGTGTATTTTGAAATGTGGTTGGGGATGGGGGGTGGTCCACAGTGGTCAAAGGGCTGTGCTGTTGGGGTGGGTTGGGATTCTGGGGTGGGGGAAGGAGTGTAGCCTTTATCTTAAGCCAATGAAGGGTTTCAGGCAGAGGAGGGACATGATCTAAACTAAGTTTCAAAACACGTGATGTGTGGCTCCCATGGATGGAGGGGACCAGAGACGATGGTGGCATGGACCAGCATGGTGGCCGTAGAGACGGAGAAGTGGACGGAGTTGGGAGCTATAGAGGATGTGAAGTCAACAGGCTTTGTGGGAATAAAGTATGCAGGTGGAGGAATTGGAATGACTGGACAGTAGCCAGGGCAGGACCAGTCTTGAGGGAAAGCTCATGAGTTTGCCCTAGGACTTGTTGAGCAGGAGATGTCCATGAGTCATTCAAGGAGTGTGTCATGTGGACAGTTGTCTAAAGGGTCGGAATCTTCGAGGAACTTGGTGGGGTCGGGGGGAGAAGGGAAGTGGGGAGAATTTTGTGAAGCTTGCCTTGGCTTTTAAAATACATTTCTGTATGATAATCATTCTAAATCTTCATGTCGCAGTGATAGATCCAGCCATCAACATTTTATAGTCTGGGACAGTGGAGAAACATGCAAGAAGCATCTGAAGTCACAACCAATGGCTGCTGCTAGTAAAAAGAGCCCAATAAAAATAACATTCAGAAAGCAATCATCTTATGCCAGGTGCTTTCTGCACCCGTTTATTTCACCCTCACAGTAGTTATCGGATGATATGAGTGTTATTGTCTCTGTTTGACATGTGATTGCCACCATGACACCACCAAGGTGCTTTCCAGTGACATGCTCTGGCTTCACACATGGTTGTTCTTGAAGGTGGAGGTAGCAGTAGTCTTTCTAGCCAGTAGACAGAGGTGGCAGTGTGGGAAGTGAGGGTGGCAGATCTCTCACCTATATAGAACTATATACCAGGCATTGGTCTGGTGCTTTACATATATTAATTTAGTAAATCTTCACAAAAAAAAATTAGGAGGAAGATACTATCCTAATTTTACAGACAAAGGAACTCAGGAACAGAGAGGTTGAGTAACTTGCCTAAGGTCACACAGCCAGTAGGTGGTGACTTTCGAATAGAATCTGGGCTCTTAAACACTCTTCTAGTCTGTGTGTCTTAAGTAATTTGAACTTTTGACTCTTGCCTGGTGAGGCTCCCAGAGTGCAGGGACAGGAGTAGCTTGCTGGGTGGAGGAGGAGCAGGAGAAGGAGAGAGCAGAGGAGAAGGAGCAGAAGACAGAGGAGAAAGTGAGAGAGGAGGAGGAGAGGAGGAGGGGGAAGAGGGAGAGGAGGAGGGGGAAGAAGGAGAGGAGGAGGGGGAAGAGGGAGAGGAGGAGGAGGGAGAGGAGGAGGAGGGAGAGGAGGAGGAGGAGGGAGAGGAGGAGGAAGAGGGAGAGGAGAAGGAAGAGGGAGGAAGATGGGGAGGGAGAGCAGTGGTCAGCACTTCCTCACTCATTCCTTTCTCCACTAACCCATCTAGCCAAATAACGTTTCCACTTTTGCTTCTGGTGGGCCAGTCACTAGGCACTGAACAGATTTTGAGTCTGTTCTTCGGTGATTTGTGTTTACACAGACCAAAATGTGTTTAGCAGGGCAAAGATGAAAGGGACCCTAGTATCACAGTGGAAAAATCAGAGGGACAGTTTGCCTTACATAGACTGTAAGCTTTGGGTATTAACAGACTTGACCCTTCAGGTGGAGATGCTTGTGGGTAGTGGAAGGAAGTTGTAATCATGATGTTGTGCTTACAGCCCCGTTACCTGACAATTTAATAGCACAAAATGAAGGTGGTTTGAGAACAGATTGGTTTTGACTGTACCTGGGTGAGTTAAGGAAAACAATGTCAAGAGGTTTAGGTGTAAAAGTAAGACCTAATGTAAGATGACTATCTTCTGGTGGGCTATGGCCTTTCTCCATATTCATAAAAACAAGACTTCAGTAAACAGGGTAACTGTGTGTAGAACCTACACGAAAGTAGATTGGAATACCACAACTTAGGTGCATTTAAATCACTGACATCACTTGTTGATGATTTTCTGCTTAAAATTGGGATTGGCTTGGCACTTATGTATATTGACCAGTAAAAAACCAAACCACTTGCTGTTGAGTTGACTCTGACTCATGGTGACCTCATGTATGTCAGAGTAGAAGGTGCTCCATAGGGTTTTCAATGGCTGAGTTTTCAGAAGTAGATCACCAGGCTTTTATTTCAAGATGCCTCTGGGTGGACCCGCACCTCTAACCTTTTAGTTAGCAGCCACGGGTGTTAACCGTTTGCACCACCCAGGGACTCCTATGTATGTTAAGGGCTTTTAAGAACCAATAAAATCAGCAAATAGTATTTCTACAGCTTGAGGGAAGCAGATCAATATGCTGTAAGAAACTCTAGATTTGGGGACAAAAGAATTAGGTTTGAGAACCAGCTGTACCATTAATTAGCTGTGTGACTTTAAGCTGCTCATTTAGCCTCTCTTCGTGGAAAGGGGCCATTGACATAGCCTCTGCTTACCTCTTTGACCTTCCTCAATTTCCTCCTTTGATCTGATTTTTGGGCCACTTAGCTTTCTTTTGTTCCTCAAACAGATCAAACTTCTTTCTGTCTCAGGGCTTTTGCACTTGCAGTTCCCACTGCTTATAATGCTCTTCCTCACATATTCACATGGCTGGTACCTTTCCATCATTTGAATCTCATCTCAAATGTCACCTCATTAGTGAGAGCTTTCTTGCTCCATCTGAAGACCTCTCCTCCTGTTCTCCAGCCTCATCACTGTTATGTCACCTACTCAGTTGTTTTCCTGACTCTTGTTATGATCTGAAACCACCTTACTTCCTCATGTGTCATGTTTGTTGCCTCCTCCCTCACTGGCACGTGAGCTCCATGAGCTGGACTGTCTCTGCCTTGTCCACTGCCATATCCCCAGGGCCTCGGGAAGTGCCTGGCATAGTGTTGTTATTGTTGGGTGCCATTGAGTTGGTTCCGACTCACAGTGACCCTGTGTACAACAGAATGAACACTGCCCGGTCCTGTGCCATCCTCACAATCGATGGTATGCTTGAGCCCATTATCGCAGCCACTGTGTCAATCCATCTCTCCGAGCATCTTCCTCTTTTCGCTGACCCTCTACTTTACCAAGCACGATGTCCTTCTCCAGGTAGTCCCTCCTGATAACACATCCAAAGTATGTGAGACGGAGTCTCACCATCCTTGCTTCTAAGGACCATTCTGGCTGTACTTCTTCGAAGATAGATTTGTTTGTTCTTTTGGCAGTCCATAGTATATTCAATATTCTTTGCCAGCACCATAATTCAAAAGCAT